TGTGGCCAATGGCATCACGAAGCAAAGCATGGGGGATTGCCACTCTCTGAACCCAGGGTCGGCCTCCACTCTGAAGGTCATGAAGTGAGTGTGCCCTGCACTGTCTAATAGGAAACAAAGCCAGCAAGTTTGCTTACTGTTGGCATTCTCAGAAGCTTCCCCCTGGCTTACCTCCTCTGAAAAACTACGTTTTCTGTCACAAACCAGATTTTGCCTTTGCCCCAGTTCATAGGAATCAGAATATTTGTGGGTGGAGCCAGGAAATCTCTACTTCAAATTGGTTATTTATATACAAACAATTTGGGAGCCATTAGCCAGTGGGTATAATTAATGGAGAAGAGTTAAACTATTTTTATTCTGATTTCCACTGTATATAATTAAGCAGATACAAGGTGAAGTGTTCTTTCACACCTAACAGTATCCAGAATATGCTGAGCAGTAGTGGCTGTACCCTTTAATCCCAGCACTCAGGAGGCAGGGGTAGGTGGGTCTCTGTGAGTTCAAGGTCAGCCTGCTCTTCAAGAGCTAGTTCCAGGACAGGCTCCAAAGTCACAGAGAAACCCTGCCTCAAAAAGCAAAACAAAACAGTATCCAAAGTATTTCATGGTGGTCATGTTCCCCCAACTCTCTTTCACCATGCCCCTTCTTCATACTGATTTCTGAGTTTAGTCATACTTTTCTACCTGTTTATAGCAACTTCATATAAACCCAGTTTCCTGTCATTAATGGCCTTAGCTTCTGCGAAGAGGCTGACCTTCCAAGTGACACGCTGCATCTGCCACTGTCCCGCCAAGGAACAAAGCAGGAAATAAATGCGGCTTCACCATGAAGTCGCACGAATCCCTGGAAAGAGTGCAGCCCTGAGTTCAATCTAGGCTATGGAGAGTCCAGCATGATTAAAGAGACCACGCGAGAGTCCTTGAGATTGGGGCAGGCTGGGTCCTGTCCTTGAGTAGATTTAGTTCAGGACATCCTGTGTGGGTTTCCCAGCTGGCAGGTTTTGCTGGAACTTTTACCCAGCATGCTCTCCGGAAGCCCACATAGGGAGGCTTCCCACCAGGGTGCTAAGCATAGGTGTGAGACTAGGATGCTTCCTCCAGATCAGCTTGGCCTCAGCAGGAACATCACTGGAGGATGCCAAGTAAAGCAAAATGAAGCAGATGAACTGCCCACCCAAGGTCTGGCTGAATTCCCGATTCACAAAACCATAGGCGGTGATAAGAGAGTTGCTTTAAATCACTGGGGCTGTGAAGCTCCTCATGTAGAAATAAATAACTAAACACTGAAGAGAGAGGTAGCTCTGCTTCTTCCAAATCTCACTCTCACTTACGTGTGGTGTGTTTCTTTTCTCTCGTGGAGAAAGTTCAGAATCAGGAATAGCATCAATAGTAACCAGTCAATGGAATACATCACCAGCACACAGTGCTTCCTGGGATGACGAAAGTTACACTTTGTCCCTTGATGTCTGTAAAGTATTGGTCACAGGATCCTCCCCCTTCTGCTTCTCTACCCGTGAAATGGTGTTTGTCTGTGGCACACTCACCTCCCATACAGTCTATATCATCCCCAGATATTACACCGCGCTTAGCTAGTGTTTAGAGGATAGCGACATGAAAATTTGTTTGCACATACTTAGGCCTTTTCCGCATTTTTCTCCTAAGTGTTTTGATCTACAGTTAGTTGAATTTGGAGATTTAAATTCAGTGACTGCTTGCACTCTAAATAAAACAACAAAGTGCAAGAGGTTTATTGGGGAAAGGGGTGAAAGAGAGAAAGGCCGTGTTGGAGTGAGTAGACAGACAGGCATTTTGTTAGAAAATACTGCTTCATTGATGGGATAAATTAATTAGGGCAATACTGTTGAGGTCTGAGAATACTCCAACAATGTTACATTGGGTAGACCTCTACCTTAAAGCATGAATTTAGCCAATTTCAGATTAGCTTACAGAGTCACAGTGGCTCTGGTATAGCCCAAACGGAATATTTTGTGTGAACAGATATTTTACCATTTCTGAGAAGAGGATTGGTCAGATAGAGTCCAGTATTTTTTTCCAGATATTTAATAATGCCCATCATGTGTATTAGAACATGCTACTATGTTCTGAGTTACTGACGTCTGGTTTTTAAAATGTCTGTTACAACTTAAAGACTATGTTATTGTAAGAGCCAGCCCTGATAAGCTAAATATGAACAGATCACCCAATGGAAGTTCTTTACTTCCAACCATTATCACCTGCCAGAGTAGGACTCAGCCATCAATAAGTTTAATGGAGGCCTGAGTCTCAGTAGTTGACCCTGAAGCAATACCTGGTTGCAGGAAGAATCCCAGACTGAGATTACCTGAGCACCACCCAGGAACAGACCATCCAAAGGAAATGCCTAACGTTCCAACCGCTGTAGACAGGATCACCTGCCAGCACACTCACCGGGACACCCCTAGAGAAATGTCAGTCAATCAGGGGCCCTAAAACCTCACCCCACCTTTACTACTATAAAAACCCAGCTCTGACCGAGTTGGGGACTCTCCATTTATGCCAATACATTGGACATGCAGAGAGACTGAGTTTGCCAACTTGCATAAAATAAAGGCTCTTTACTTTTACATATGGGACTCGGTCTCTTTGTTGGCTTTTGGGGGATTTCACGGATTTGGGTATAACAGGTACTTGTTACAGACATGCCCACCAGCTTTGAGCTATGGACTCAAGGGAAACCTGTCCTATTCAGCCTGCAATGCTACTTCTTCCACCTGGCATCATGCACTAGGTGCTTACCAGTCCCAGCATGCTTTCTGGGAGGGCAGCACAGTATTCTAGTCAGGTATACCAGCTTCACATTCAGTGGTACTGATGCTAAGTTCTGATTCAGATATCTTAAAAAATACTGCTTCATTGACTGGGGTAATCATGAACCTGTGATGTCAGATTCCCTCTGTATGCTGTGAATATGTTTTATTACCACTGGTTAATAAAGAAGCTGCTTCAGCCTATGGCAGGGCAGAATATAGCCAGGCTAGAAGAGGTATATAGAGAGAGTAGTTGGAGTCAGAGAGATGCCATGTAGCTGCTGAGGGAGGCAGACACCAGATCCTTACCAGTAAGACACAGTCCCGTGCTGCTACACAGAATAGTAGCAACGGGCCAATTTAAGATGTAAGAGTTAGTTAATAAGAAGCCTGAGCTAATAGGCCAAGCAGTGTTGTAACTAATATAGTGTCTGTGTGGTTATTGCCTGAGCAGTTGGGAAATGAGTGAGCAGTCACCCTTTACAGCCCTGTTCAGGTTTTTTTTATCTCAGAAGCGGTGAACATTAAGTCAGATGTAAATTGCACAGACACGCGAAGTATTTAGCACAATGCCCATCATGTAGAAAATATAGGAAAGTGATAGTTTCTGTGCATCACATTATTTTTTTATCGCTAGTTTTTTTATTGTCTGAACTAGCTAGCTATAACAATTTTGTTTAGTCAAGAAATGAACAGATTTGTTTGGTTTGGAAATAAGTGTGTTTCTCTATTTTATGGGCGTTACTTCACCAATGGGAAACATCAGTTTTTGGTAGGAAGTGTGTGGGTCCCTGAGACACAGCAGCTCAGGTCTAAGGAGATAACGGTAGAGGTGCACCCCAGGACACGTGTGCTCCCTCTCTGTAACTCTCCCTCTGGTGGAGAAAGGCGACCCTGTTACATTCTATTCTTGTTGGAGAAACTGAGGCACTAATGTAATAGCTCACCCTATGACACTGAGCTATTTTGAAATCTCCTTTCTAATGGGCTGGCAGCAAATTTGTGAGGAGCCATTTGTCTCCGTCATTCCTGGACTTCCCTCCCCCTGCGGCTCCATCCCCTTCTCTCTTACCCAGTGAATTTCCCCTATTTTGAATGACAAATTAATTGGAAATAATTTAAAAAGCTGCCTGTTTCAGATACACTTGTGCTTTAGGAACCTTGAGTTATGTGTTTTGGAGTGACTGTTTCAGTCACCATCTTAGCTACAAAATTCCCAGTAGAGCAAAGAATGGTGATCCCGGGAGCGATCCTAGAACCTGTTCACACAGTTGCTTTCAGGGAGAAATCACTGTGCCAAGGAGTCAGGAAGATCTTTTTTAGCACTTTCCAAAGTCTGGTCATGGGACGTTAGTTGTACTTTACTGTGCTTAAACACAAACGGAACAAACAAGTGTCCTCATTGAGAAGATTCTCCAAATCTTAGTTCCAATCTCTCTCCAGTTCTTAGCTTCCCATGTTAAATAAAAGTGGTTGAACTTCTGGAAAGGGTTGTATCTTCTGGTAGTCTTTCCTCCTGGTGAACATCTCCCCTGGTGAGTATTTCCCCCTGGTAGCATCTCTTCCCCTGGTAGCATTTCCCCTTAGTGAGCATCTCCCCTTGGTAGCATCTCCCCCTGGTAGCATCTCCCCCTGGTAGCATCTCCCCCTGGTGAGGATCTTCCCCTGGTGAGCATCTCCCCTGGTGAGCGAGTATCTCCCCCTGGTAGCATCTACCCCTGGAAGCAGCTCTCCCCCTCACCCAGTAGCATCTCCCTCTGATGAACATCTCCCCCTTACACTTTTCATGAAGCATTCTCAATATATCTGTGACTCTGAATATTCTATATAGAACACTGCTTTCTAGTCATTGAGTAAAGTGAGGCCGGAGTAACTCACTGACTCTCCTATGGCAATAGGACTATAGCAAAAAGTTCAGAAGGCTGGTCCTATGGCTGCCGCACAATCTGATCAATTCCAGTTAGTTGAATAGGTTGCATGTCTTTCTTCCCTAACAGACACTACCTAGCACCCAAACAGAGAGTCTTCTGCTTCTTACTGTATCCTTAGCACATAGTTCAGTCTGATACACATCCTAATTTAATATTCATATTAGAACTTATTAACGCTGATCTGAGATTCATTATAGGGACAGGCACGCTTTGTTGGGCCCTGTTGTCCTGGCTCCCCATATGAGGCCGTTTGCGAATGAATTAGTATGTGGTTCCATACTTACACTGAGAATACGTGGTGGCAGTTCCGCTGACACTGAACCGGTTGAGGTGAAGCCTGTGCGTGACGACATTCTTCTGGGGTTGGAACAGGACAATGTGTACCTTGGGGGCAAACAAACAGCCCAAGACCACGAAACCGCTCAGGCTAACGGAGATGCACATAGTTGTCGTCTGCACCTGTAAGAAAGGTTGGCTCAATGAGTGTCCAACTATAAATCCCATCATGAAGTCAACTAAAGAGAACACTGAGACAAGGCCAAGTTGGAAAACGAGAATCGTTCATTAACTTTGTTCTTGTCATAGCTAAGTTTATATGCTAATTATATAGGATCTTCTGTGTTTGGAATATTCATGAAAACATTGTTTAGGATTTCAAAGCAAGCATCATTTGTGTGGGTTGCTTCTGACTGCTTGCCAAGACTTCACATGGATTTCCTGATTTGCTTTACATTTGTATGATGATATTTATGCGGAGCTGGTGAAGTCAGAATCGTAAATAGCAAAACACAGATATTCAGTGATGAGAGTACTAGATGGCAGGCGGTTCTCACCAATGAACATGGCTCATTCAAAGTTCACTTGTCCAGTTCCTTCAATAAGTCACATGATTAAAAGCTGGTGTTTAATATTCAGCTCTCTGTTTTCTTTTACACCACCAGTTCCAATGGCCCTGACTTTATCTTCAGACTTACAGCAGCATTTGACATCAGTAATCATTTCCTTATTTTGACTTCCAAGACATATCCCTCCCTAGAATGGGTGTTTGCTCCTGGTTTTAATGACCTCTTCTATCTGAACTTTAAGGTCTGGAGTGTCTTAGACCTCAGGTTTTTGATATCTCCCCTTCATTGTTAAGTTTTCATGACTTAGATACCTGCTATATTGTTTATATCCAGATATTTACTAGTGTAGACCTATCCTGTATGCTTTCGTATTTACATACTCAACTGCCACAATCACACATTATGCTGAATGTTTAGTAGAAAAGAAGGAAGTTCATATCACCAAGCTTGACCTCCTTTCCTAATTGTTTCAGTCTGAGTAACAGTAGATGTTTAAAAACCTTGGGAGTTATCTTTGCTTTTTCCACTGTCCTTAAACTCACTCTTCCAATCCATGAACACGTTCTTTCGGAGATAATCCTGTGTAGATCTCGTATTTCTACTTAGCTTGAAAGCAAAGGCTCTAACTACCACTGTTCTGAGCTTGCTGCTCATGGATATTCACATAAAGAGCTTGAGATGATGGAGTCTACTCCTAGTGCAGCGACCATTGTTCCTCTGTGTGAGAAGTGAGACTCGGAAACTCTGGTGAATGTTCAGTCTGGCTATGGCTGTTTTTGCTGTTGGCGTCAATCACAGTCTTTTCTGGAAGTTTCGTTTTTTTTTTTTTTTTTTTTTTTTCAGCAATGACACTGGCACAATTGTATGGTCAGTCTGACATACTCAAACGGGTCTCTACTCATTGCCTGTGAAGTGGAGGATCTGTAGGGAGATTGAATGCTGGGTTTAGAGAAAGGGTTGAAAGAGAGCAGCTAGTCTGGTGCTTTGATTATTTCCGGATCATTCTGAGATGGGACAGGGTGCATTTCTTCACAGCAGGAGTCAAGTCCATGTGATACTAACAATGTAATATTGAATTTGTTCTGATTGGGCAGAAAGTTCTACTTCTTTGAACACAGAAGTTGTGAAGGTTTGAACCTCACTAATCAGGAGAAGAGAGACCTTCAGGAAAGGCAAAGGTGGATGGGTCATCTGAGCTTGTCCTATGTCCTCGAGAAGCTGAGCATGCAGGGCATATGGTTCCATGTGTACAGGGCACATGGTACTTGTGGGTCCAGGATCCTTGATACTTATGGATTCAGGGCCCTTGGTACTTGTTGGTGCAGGGCCCTTGGTACTTGAGGGCACAGGGCCCTTGGTACTTGTTACAGAAGGAAGATCACAGTGGGCTCTCTCAAGGCTTATCCCTTTAAAGGTAACTTTTCAAATGGATAAAAGTTTCAGTTTTGCAGTGGAATTTGGATGTGTAAAGGAGCTGTTGTCTACCTAACTACATTTCCCCAGGAGAGAAAAACTCTAGGATATCCACAGACGAGGCACTTATTGGCATTTGTACTCTTACCTGGGTTGGACTTATTCTTTCTTCTTTTGTCTTTCGTTTATTTTTTAATTTTAAAAAATTATCTATTTATTATTCTTTCCCAGTTTAATCCATGTGCACAATAAGTATTTGGTTTTCCTCTGGTGTGTTCCTTGTCTTGTTTGCCCTTGTTCTTCTACTGAACCTTTAAACATGTGTCTTCCTAGTTTCACATCCTTTTTGTGTGTGAGCCACTTTGTTTAGACAGAGCAGCCTGCTTAGACCATTTACTAGAATAGGAACAACTTAGCAGTGGTTGCACCACTGAAGAAAGCAACAAGTCATCTTCCAACAGCCATTAGCTGCCAGTAGTCCCTCAGGGGGGGTGGAGCCTCATGAAGTTCTCTCCCACACAAGAAGAAAGGGTGATGGGCTGGCCCTGTGCAGGTCAGCTGTGCAGACAACCCCAGCTGCAGTGAGTTTGTGGGGGCACTTGTTGGGTGCTTTCTAACTGTATTCCTCACAGTCTGACTCTTAAATATACTCTTCTTCTCTTCCACAGTGTGTTTGCTGAGCCTTGGTGTGTGTGTGTGTGTCTGTGTGGTGTGGTACAGATGTCCTATTTAGACCCCAGCACTCCACACAGTTACTTATTCTCTCTACTCTGCCCAGTTGTGAGTCTCTGTATCAACTGCCACCCACTGAAAAAAAAAAAAAAAGCAGGGTCTCTGATGCTGTCTGAGAGGTACTCTAATCCCCAGGTATAAGGAGAAGTGTTCAGAGGTAGGTTGACACTACATCCCTTTACCAAAGAATAGTGGTAAATCACCTGGAGACCTCTGATCTCCTCAGCCGTGCATTCTTAGCCAGGTTTTCAGTACCGGTTGTGAGTTCCCTCTTGTGGGGTGGGCCCCTGAATAGAGGTATCCTATATGGGAGATAATGCTCCTGGAACCTATAGGTTATTAAACCAAAATGTGAGTGACAGATGTGGGATGACTATCTCCCTCTGAGCTGCCAGTTGGGGAAGTCTCGGAAATGACAATACAGGCTATTGATATTGCTCGTGGCTGTCCACCAGAACTTGATAAGACCCTATTGCTAAAGACAGGGCATAGAGTAAGCAAGCAAGAAGTGCCCTAGACGCTACACTCCTGCTGGCTAGCTTTCACTACTCCTGAAGCTGCTCTGCAGGCTGCAGGGAGAGAGACGTTACCAACAGTCTTACTCAGCTGTGAAGCCGGAAAGCTTCAATACTCTCTCCCTTTTTCTTTAATGTGGGGCATCACCATGAAGGTTAGATTCCCTAGACCACACTCTCATCCTGTGTCAGCCTCCCTGATGTTAGGATTACAGCCATGTACCACCAATTTGAACATACAGGTGCCCCCCAAAATCAGACCTTAAGTTGAGCTGTAAGTGGCTTCTTATTGCCATAGGGCTCCACTACCCCTCCACAGTGCCTGCTTTCCGCACGCTCTCTGTCATGACTTTCGCTGCTTTAGGAGAAACACACTGAAGGTGAGGGACAAGTTCTTTCCATCCTTCAGGGTGGTCGAAGTCTGCCTGCTCCAGACATTGGGGAACTTAAGAGGGGGAGACATTCTAATTTGTATGTCATGCTGACCAAAATCATCCTCTTACCTAGTGTTTTCACTGGGGAGGTAGGGCTGGGACGAAGGTAAGACACATATGTTAGATGCAAATTGGAGGGGATGCGGATAACTCAGTAATTAAGAGAAATTACATTATAATGCTATATGTATGAGTGTTCTGTCTACACGTATGCCTCCATGCCCAAATTGGGCACCAGATCCCATTACAGATGGTTGTGAGTTACCATGTGGTGTTTGGGAATTGAACTCAGGACCTCTGGAAGAGCAGTAAGTGCTCTTAACCATTGAACAATCTCTCTGGTCCTTATTGCTTTATTTTTAAAATCAGAAATAATGCTGACATTTGTGATGAGCACAAGAATTAAGCTGGAATGGGCTCATTAACAGTGCTGTGCTTCGGTATATTCAGTCAAGTCATGAAAGGCAGGCCTGTCTCAATCATGGCAAATTCAGGTGACCCTGAGTCCAGTTTGCATTGTGTTCTAGAAAGTGGAACCTGGGGGTCCTACATAGATGTTGACCCTACTTGCTGCTGTGATTGTGAAAAAGTCCTTTGCATCTGAACCAGTAGTTACACGGGCTCTGCCTTGTCCCTGGCACTGTGGCAGGTTGCTGTGTCTACTTCTAACCCTCTCAAATACTAAAACTTGGATGCAGCTCCCACAGCCTTTGTCCTACCAAGCAAGCTAACCACTCTCCCTGATTTTGCCTTTGTACTATGAGACCATAATTTCAGTCACCAAAACAAAAATCTTCCAATGGTTTCCTTTTTTATACAAAATAAAATTTATATTCTTTTCTACATCCTACAAAGTCCTACATGGTTTAGCTCCTACCCAACCTCTTAGATCAAATAACTCTTGCGTTTATGTATTAAACTGTAGCTGTCCATGCCTTTCTACCCTAACGCATTTCTGCATGAGAGTGCTGGTGTTGGTGGTTTCTTCTGGCTGGCTCGTAGAATTTGGAGGGCTTGGCTGCTTCTCATTCTACCGTATGTTGCAGGAGCTTCTTCTGCTTTTTCAGCCAATAGCCGCTCAGATACCAGCCCATTGGGGCATGGTCTCTCTCTCTTTAAAAAAGCAGCCACTTCCCTCTGCTCTCTCTCTCTCTCTCTCTCTCTCTCTCTCTCTCTCTCTCTCTCTCTCTCTCTCTCGCTTTGGCTCCGCTTCCAGCGATTAGGTGCCCTTCTTGATTGTGCAGAGGGCTGTTGTCTGGGATCGTGATCTGTAAGTTTTTCCCCCATAAATAAATAACCATTCTATTAATCATAGTTCCAAACTGGTGTGGGATTGTTTGTGACTTACGCCTTCAACAGTAGACATTGTACAATGGGCACCAACAAAATTGGCTGACAGTTCTTTCAAAATAATTGATGATTTGCTATATATGCTTAAATTTCAAGATTATCAACCTGGGAATATTTGTATTTTATTGTACTTGAACTTTATTGGAATTCCAGGATCACATCTGCAGTCCCCACCTTGTCTTTTCACAGTTAGCCTGTTCATATTTACTGTTGACTTCCACAGTGCGGTGAAATTTCTGGTATCTCCAGCAATTCTATCTGTTAGTACTCTACCGTATTGCTATCATACAAGGGACAAACTCAAGTTTTGGTGCATGAGAAACAAGTGCTAACTTCTCTAATAAGATCAAAATTTTGGTAACATTTTCTGCTTTACTTTAAGGTGGCTTTTTTGAGGATGAGAAGTTGAAACTCTACATGGTTATCATCCAACTGGTTCCTGATACTCTAAACCTGGTTCACTAATGACAATACAGTAACAACATTAAAAAGTCAGTTGCCCAACCGAGCAGTGGTGGTGCACACCTTTAAGCCCAGCACTTGGGAGGCAGAGGTGGGCAGAATTCTGTGAGTTCGAGGCCAGCCTGGTCTACAAGAGTTAATTCCAGGACAGACTCCAAAGATACAAGGAAACCCTGTCTTAAAAAGCCAAAAAAAAAAAAAAAAAATCAGTTGTCCATGCTGATCTATGGGGTGAGTGTATATATAAGGACAACAGCTAGGGATAGGGGCTTTAAAAATATTAGTAAGACTTTTCTGTTTTATTCTGAAATTCCGAATGTTCAAACTCTTTTGTGGTTCACATATTTTGCCTTTAATTTGCTTATCAAATTGCAATACTACTTCTCTTAAAGATTTTTAAAATGAATAAATAAATGCTTAAATATCTTAGCATTAAAAAAACCTGACAATTACTCTAACATTGAACTTAAGTTCCCATTTGTACTGATTATTAATGTATGCAGTCCATATGTTTCATGCATATAGTTGAGAATAATTTGAACTAGAGACAGTAGCCTTTGTCAGGGTCTTGTTTTTTTTTCTTCCTTTAACAAAATCATTTTAATTGGTAGAAATTACACATATATATCTTAAAAGAAATGATATATGTATTTTAAAACTTAGTGAATTAATTTTCACATAGCATATTAAGACTAATAATGGTATGTATATGTCCATAACATGTGTTGAAATATGAAAGCATTATAGAATGATAAATTAATAAGCACATGTTGCCGCTTACCTGCTTGTGTGGAGAACAAATAGAATATGCCTTTTTATACCCTCAAGAATGTAATCTATTTCTATTAATAATACATACCATGATGTGTCACAAAACACCTTGAAGGTGTTTGTTTCCTTGCTTGCTTGTTTGCTTTTTCCCTGCCTGAGGTTTGGGATTTGCTGTGCCTTCCTTCTGAGATGTGGTTTCCTAGATTTGGGACAATGCTGTAATTACTGGTAAACAGAAGACTCGGGAAGGCTCTTTTACTACTTCATTTTGTAAAGCCATGGCACAACAAGGAAACAGGCCTGTGAAAAACTAACTTATGATGACTTAGAAAATAGAATAAAAACCAATGATGGGAAGAGGGAATAAATCTTACGGCTCACCGAAGACACTAGAGTTAGAATTACTAAAGCAAAATTAATTCATCAATGGCTCAACAACTTGTGAAATCATGATGGGATGATGACATCTGCCCCACAAGAGATGGTAACTATATGGAAGTCCATAAATTTGAACTCTATAAATAACGACTTAATTAGGTTATGCGTACACGTGTAATAAAGGTTTTAGCAGTTCCACGGTACATAGACACTCGTAATTATATATGGTATATTTGTATACATAACTAAAGGCTTAGAAAATGCACAACAGACTGTATTTTAATCAATCGCAGGGAAGTTCTAAAGCATGAATAAAAGTTTCAGATCTCTGTTCTGATCTTGGCTTAATGTTACAGTGATACTTTAGTTTACACATGCATCTATTATAGACATCCTCTTGCGTCTAATTTCAAGTATTCTCATTAGGGTTTTACTGACTGAGTATCATTCTCTTGTCAATTGCCTTTTAAATTTAATTAAGACACTTTTATGTGCATGTATTATGTTTTATTCCTCAGTAGATTATAAACGACTTGAATGGCCCTCCAGTTATATCTATCTTTCCCTCTGTGCCTGGCACAGTGCTCTGAGCAAACTAAGCACTAATTAAGTGTCTTAAAGCATAGAGAATTAATTTTCTCATATCATATTGAAGTTAATCATGGCATTTGTAATTATTTGATTCTTTCTTGAGATGAAATAAAAGGAATCTACCCTAACTCCTACCCAGCAAAGCATTGCTAACTTAAAAGAACAAAGGAAAGCTCAGTCCGGTGCTCCAGTGTGGGTCTCTGTCTCTATCTCCATCCAACGCCAGATGAAAGTTCTATGGTGATATGCAAGATATTCGTCAGTGTGGCTATAGGATAGGGTCATATCAGGCTGCCCAAGGAACAAGCTGGGGACATCTCCTTGGACACCTGGTAACCTCTCTAGAGTCAAGTCTCTTGCCAACCTTAAAATGGGTCACTTAATTAAGATATATACTTCACTGCTCCCATATCCATCCTTCCTCCATCCAAACCATCCCATTCCCCCAAGCTCTCCCCATCCTCCCCTTCTCCTTACTCTCTTCCCATCTCCCCTTACCCCCCCCACCCCCAAGCTCCCAATTTTTGCCTGGCAATCTTGTCTACTTCCAATATCCAGGAGGATAACTATATGTTTTTCTTTGGGTTCACTTTCTTATTTAGCTTCTCTAGGATCACAAATTATAGGGTCAATGAGCTCCCAAGGTCCAAATGAGGAGCAGAAGGAGGGAGAACATGAGCAAGGAAGTCAGGATCACGAGGGGTGCACCCACCCACTGAGACAGTGGGACTGATCTAATGGGAGCTCACCAAGGCCAGCTGGACTGGGACTGATGGAGCATGGGATCAAACCAGACTCTCTGAATGTGGCTGACAATGAGTGCTGACTGAGAAGCCAAGAACAATGGCACTGGGTTTTGGTTCTACTGCATGAACTGGCTTTGTGGGAACCTAGTCTGTTCGGATGCTCATTTTCCTAGACCTGGATGGAGGCGGGAGGACCTTGGACTTCCCACAGGGCAGGGAACCCTGACTGCTCTTTGGACTGGAGAGCAAGGAGGAGGGGGAGTGGGGGGTGAGGGAAAAGGGAGGAGGTGGAATTTTTTTATTTGTTTTTCTTTTTCTTTTTTTATTAATTATTATTAAAGATTTCTGCCTCCTCCCTGCCACCGCCTCCCATTCCCCCCCCTCCCCTGGTCAAGTCCCCCTCCCTCGTCAGCCCAAAGAGCAATCAGGGTTCCCTGCCCTGTGGGAAATCCAAGGACCACCCTCCATCCAGGTCTAGTAAGGTGAGCATCCAAACTGCCTAGGCTCCCACAAAGCCAGTACGTGCAGTAGGATCAAAAACCCATTGCCATTGTTCTTGAGTTCTCAGTAGCCAGACCTGGAAACAACCTAGATGCCCTTCAATGGAAGAATGGATGAAGAAAGTTTGGAATATATACATATTAGAGTACTACTCCGCAGTAAAAAACAATGACTTCTTAAATAATGGACGGAAATAGAAAACACTATCCTGAGTGAGGTAAGCCAGACCCAAAAAGAGGAACATGGGATGTTCTCACTCATATTTGGTTTCTAGCCATAAATAAAGGACATTGAGCCTATAATTCATGATCCTAGAGAAGCTAAATAAGAAGGTGAACCCAAAGAAAAACATATAGGCATCCTCCTGAATATTAACCTTCATCAGGCGATGAAAGGAGACAGAGACAGAGACCCACATTGGAGCACCGGACTGAAATCTCAAGGTCCAAATCAGGAGAAGGAGAGAGAGCACGAGGAAGGAACTCAGGACCGCGAGGGGTGCACCCACACACTGAGACAATGGGGATGTTCTATCGGGAACTCACCAAGGCCAGCTGGCCCGGGGTCTGAAAAAGCATGGGATAAAACTGGACTCACTGAACATAGCAGACAAGGAGGTGGAAATTTTTAAGAAAAAAAAAAGAACAAAGGAAAGAAGAAAGTCAAATTAAGGAAAAGATAGAAGCAGTCAAAGACTTACTCTGTAGTCGCTCGATGTCACATAAAATATTGGGAGGAAGGCCAACCAGATGATGCAGGTGGTGTACATGGTGAAGCCTATGAACTTGGCTTCATTGAAGTTTTCAGGACACTTCCTTGTTTTAAAAGCATAGACAGTGCATAGGATCACCAGGACCACATCATAGGTCAGAGAGATCAACATGCTGGAATCTTTGACATTGCATTTTAGGATGACTGTCTCCCGCTTCTCTGGAAGGGTGTATCTTCTTGTGCCTGGAGTCTCCAAGATAAGCCACACGGACACCATCACAATCTGCACCAGGATCAAACCCAGGCAGATAAAAACCTGAGAACTGGGACTGATGAATTTTGGCCTCTGGGCGCCGTTCTTGACACCATCGAAGATGCGAGCAATGCAGTTTGTTTTGGTCAGCAGAGCCGAATAACAGATGGCGAAGGAGGTCCCAAGCCCAAGCCGGCGCAATGCGCAGATAACAGGTGATGGTTTAGCAATGAAGAAGAATGTCATACCATAGGACAGGCTCACTCCAAACAACAGGATGTAGCAGAGTTCTCGGCCTGATGCTTTGACCAAGGGCGTGTTGTTGTGCTTGATAAACACAGTTATAACTATGCACGTGCACATGAAACCCAGGCAGGCAATGGTGACTGGGCCTATTGCCCAGGCGTCCTCCCACTTGATGTAATCCTCTGGAAGATTGTAGCATCCCGAGAGGTCAGCCGTTGGCCACTGGCCAGGCCCACAATCCATACAGGTGAACTCATCGATTAGGTATTCGTAGGGCTCGCAAGGGATGCAGATCCAGCAGCAGACGTCCCCTGGCTGCATATTCTTCATTTCGTTGGGGGCACAGGGGTCGCTGCACTGGGAAGTGGGGATTGAGTTTCGGGACCAGTGGATAGAGTCTACGTCTAGAAATAAAGTTTCTGCCCAGTGGCCAACCTTCAAGTAGGAATACTTTCCATTCACGTTCTGGAAGTTGAACACGTTGTATCTTCCCATCCCGTCTCCGAAAGTGTCAAACTTCACAATGCTGTCTGCTCCTTTATTCGGGTTGAACGGAGCTTTGATACATAGAATGAAGACAAGAAAAGAACACTTGTTTAGGTGTCTCCTATGTCATTAGTCAATTCCTTTTGCCATACACTCAGCAGAACTGAAGGAGCAGGGACTAGCGTTACCCAGGCTGACACACTTTATTACTTACCGTTGAAAGCCACACATCAAAAGCTTCCAGAGTGCTTATGCATTCGTAAGGTTACTCACTTAGGATTGCCGCGTGTCTAACGGGTGCCAAGTGCCAGGGATAATAATGAACATCACACAGCGCCACTTCACAGGAGCATGCAACGTTGTACTCTGTGATGGGAAGTGCTATTTGCTTGAAATCTTTGTAACGGGAATCGGGCAGAACTTCATGTCTCGTTTCATACTTGTAAATACAACCACTAAATTTTTACCATATTATTTATATTCATGTATAACTAATACATGTAAATATTACAATGTAAAACTAATAGCAAAAATTCTCTCCTTGAAATGAGATCGCAATATAAATATATAACACATGCATTCAAACATTTCTGATGATTAGTATAGGAAAAAAATTGAAATGTATTTGTAGTCATTCTGACGTTCTTGGCATATAGTCTTGCTGTGTAGCCCAGGCTAGCTTTAAATTCACAGCAGTTCTCTTACCTCAGCACCTTGAATGCTGGGGTTACAAAGATGTGCTGTCCACTTTGTTAGCTATCTTATGCACGCAGCAGTAGGCAGGACATTTGCAAGTGCGCTTTACTGCCAGTGTAGAGGGTGGGATGATCTCAAACAATGAGATGTTCTCGATCCTGTCCCTTTGCTACACCTTTGGGAAGTCCTGGAGAGCAGCTGGTCTGAACACCCGAGCTTCCTCCTTCTCAACTGTCACTGACCATGTGTCTAAACTCTTAAAATAAGTTTCTATACAATTTATTATTATTACATCCCGTTTTGCATTTATTAAACGTCTCGGAAATATTATACTGAAGAGCTCCATGGAGACTATGAACTGAGAGGGAAAGATTTTTCTCCTTAAAAGTTTTTTTAATTTTAATTAAAATATAGTTACATTATTTCCTCTTTCCCTTTCCTCTCTCTAACCTCTCCCATGTCTTCTCCCTCCAGCCTTTCCCATGTTCCTCTCCTACTTACTATGAAATCATGGCCCCCACTTCTCTGGCTATTGTTATATACTCTCTGTCTGTGTCTCTCTGTCTCTGTCTCTCTCTCTCACACACACATACACACACACACGCACACACACATACACACATACACACACAAATATATATAACTACAACCTGCATTGCTTGTACGTAAAGAATTCAGGGCTGACCACTTGCCATTGAATACCTGATTCGGGGACTCATCCCTGAAAAGAGTAATTCTATCTTTCTCAGCAGTCAGCCACTAGTTCCCTGTAGCTCTTTGTCTGCGGGTGAGGCCCAGTACAATCTCCTCGTTTCATATTAGCTTGTCTCATTGCTGCTGTTATTGTTAGGTCTTGTTTTGGTAACCACATTGGTGCGGTATCATGGATAGAGTTTCCATGTCATCTGTAGGAGACACGCATGACCTCTGCTAGTCTGGCTCTTATAGGCTTTCTGCTCACTCTTCTGTAATAGTCCCTGAGCCGTAGGTGTGCAGACACTGTGCTGAAGAGGGGGTTTTTTACTCAGCTTCCGGCTTCTCATCTAGCCCGCTTACCTCTTCTACATATGTGTGCTGTCTTGTAGTAATTACTTTGCAATTGTCTTCAGGATGCAGCTGAAGATTGAATTTTCATTCGGGACCAGGCTCAGTAAGTGACTATGTGCTCTTTATTTTTATTCCACACTGGCTGGCCTGTTGTGTATTTTCCATTTCATACTGTTAGTCGCTACTTTTTCCTTAGAAGAAGATTGTGTCTGTCTGGGTGATTCATAGATATACACTATTATGGTCGAATTACTAATCATCCTTATGGGGAGAAACCAAGAGAGTGGAATAAGATACCCATAAAGAGGCCTACTATATCCTAATAAATGCTAATGGTGGTACCTGAGACAAGTGAAGGTCTTACATACATATTGGTAAGTAAATGTTTAATCAGCTGGAAAAAAATGAAATTTTCTGTACCTCATTACTTATGCCTAGATAAATTTTGAAAAGATCAAAGTTTTATGTGGAAAAAACAAAGACACAGAAGTTCTAGAAATAAAAAGAGCATATTAATATCAGAGTGGAAAAAAGTCCTTTTTCAAAGGCTATTGGAAAATGAAGAACAAACAAACACATAAAAACCAAAACCACAATAATGCAAAAAACTGGCATCTTGGGGGAATTCATAATCTCAGCGTTGGGGAGCGGGAGACAGGATGATTCCTGGGTTTTACTGACTAACCAGCCCAGATTAATGGGTGATTGCCAGGTCCCAGTGAGAATATCTGCCTTAAATATCAAGATGAATGGTTCTTGATGAACCCTGGTTGATCTTCGCTTCCACACACATGCATGTGAACCCTCATATACACATGCACCCCACACATGTGCACACACGCAAACTTCCCAAACCAATAAATATGAACATTGAAGCATAAGTGAGAAATGATAATGCAAACTTCAAATGGTATCGAGATAATGTAAAAATTTCCAATATAAAAAGGAACTTAATAACCCTTAGAAAACGTCCAAAGGATTTGAGTAGCTATTTTATCATACAGAAAATCTAATTTTCTTAAACATAAAAATAGGTTCAACATTAGTCAAAATGCAGAAAAAAATGCAAACTTCCAAAGGTCAAATAATAGTTCTTCGAAGACTTTTACAAGCCAAATGCCAAGACCCTGATATTGCTATGCCAGACAACATAGATGAATTCAAGTTGGGATTCAGATTGCTTTTAACTGACATAAGGACATCTTGCTTTATATGGGTGAGCCCAGTAATACCTGACCCAGCTCAGAATTCTGCAGAAGGTTCAGGGGTGCTCACTTCTGGGTTTTGGGTGACAGATACAGAAGACTGAGTTCACTGCTACTGGCTCTAAAGGAGGCGCCTTGGTGATAGATACGGAAGATGGAGCTCACCACTACTGGCTCTCAAGGAGCTGCCAATCTGGGTGGACAATAAAAACTGGAAAGGAAATAAAACAGGTCCTGTGGGGCCTTTAAGAGGTAATACAGCCTGGCCAACACATTGCTTTTATGTCAGTGAAATCCATTTAGACATCTAGCCTCCAGAAACATTAGAAATAAAATTAGGTAGCTTTAAATTGATACAGTATGGGGTCTTGATCAGGTCTTGATTCATTCTCTCCCAGTTAAAGAATTAAGACACAGGAAAAATCTTGAGCACAATAGGCAACAGCGGAGAAACCTCAGACAATGTGGAGGACAGCAAACGGAACCAACAGTATACCTCCGAATGAGGGCAATTGGTCTGAATGTTCTCAAAAGTACAGTTGCACCCGCGTTTTGGCTTAGCAGTTTCCATTGGAGGACTGTATTCTACAGATCAGTTACGCTGGTGTTTACTGAAGGATCTTTACAACAGAAAGACTTAAGAACGACCAGTCATTCATAGTTGGGTTCATTAATAACAAATGAAATGTTACACAGCTGTGAGAAGAATGAGGACACATTAGAAAAAGAAACCCAAAGTTACAAGGCTTTGTATGAAGAACAAAATGTTTGATCAGCTATATTTTAATGGGGGTGGGGAACATAAAGTTACCCTACTACCTTTTCCTTTTCTATGTAGAGGAACTCAAGAATGATAACTACAGAGAGTGGCCACACTGGCTAGGAGCTGGAAAGCAAACAAACTGGTGGCAAAGGGGCTACTATAGTTTTATTTTAGTTTAAATTTTGAATAATATAGATGCATTATTACTACTCATATATGCTATGCATTCACAAATATGTCATCTATGAGACAGATGAGAAAGTCTTCCGAAGGGATATTCAGAGAACAAGAATCAACTCTGCTAGTGAGAGACCCTGCCTCAAAACCACACGGTGGATAGCTCCTAAGGGATGACAGCTGAGGTTATTCTCAGGACTTTACATGTGTGCACCCCCATAAACGTGTGCCTGAATACATACATACAAACACACAAAGAATCAGCTTTGTGAAATGATATAGCAAAAACAGAATTTCAGGTAAGTATGAATATAAAAAAAAAAAAACCTCTCAGGGTTTGTTCAAAATGTCAGGAGGAAGAAGGGGATAGCATAAAAAGTGGATCACTTTGCTTTCCAGCAAAGAGGACAACTGGAGAAGTGCACATGTGTAGGTGGTGGACCGCGCGTGGGGAAAGCGAGGGAAGAGATTTTTGGTCTTCTCTTGAGTGTGCTATATTCACATACATATGTACATATTTAATTTTGATAAGAAGTTATACAATTAAAATGGAATAGTGTGTATGTAAATGCATGTTTGTGTGTACATAGTTGTGCATGTATGGAGGTCAGCTGTGGAGAGCAGTGATCTTCCTTAATTTCTCTCCATCATATATTTTGAGATAGGATCTCTCTCTGACCCTGGAGCTAGGTCGTCCTGGGGATGCTTCTGTTTCTGCCTCCCCAACACTGGGATTATAGCTTTGGGATTGCAGGTGTGTTGAATTCTGGGGGGTTGAATTCAGGTTATTTTGCTTTCAATGTTAATACTTTACTGATCAAACCATCTCCCTAGTAGAAATTGTTCCTTAATGAAAACTCACCTTTTACTAAATTTGTTAAACTATAAAACATATAACAAAATACAGTATACTGTCTGAATCCTGAAACTCAAGAAATCACCTTACAGTTTCTCAAATGAATACTTTAAAAATCCTACCACAATTCATCGTCAGAATTGTGCTGGCTCTTTAGTTTGAAATACAGAGTGCTGCGTTTGTACCAGCATGAAGAGAAACAAAAGGGATTCAAGAAGAGAAAGGTGAACCACATCTGAGATACACTCCACATGTGGTGAGGGTAGTCCTGTCTGGGAACAATGGTTTCCAAGACAACAATGGCCTTGATAGTGAGACAAAGCAAAC